AATAAAACAGTTTCTCATATTTAAAAAAATGAGTGATTTTTTTTATAATCTACGATAAGTACAAGGTAATATTTGTTTAAAGATAATTCTAAACCATTTGATATTGAACGCTCGTATCCCCGGTATTTCCGATGCTCAAACTCGAGACCTTAAAAAATAACAACTTGTTTACCACTGAAATCACTAGAGTTCGTGCCAAAATGAATGTTTTTACTTGCAATATGTATGTATATAATTTTAGTTTATTAATACAATGAGCTAAAAAGAAGTGAGTTGGCTTGGTTTGTTATCCCTAATCCTATATTGAAGAACTTTCGTAATGATAATGAGTGCGACATTTTAATAATTTGCCATAGCTTAAGGTTAAAGTATTAAAGATGGTTAGGTTTAAAGAAATAATTATGAATTTAGTACAATTAATTTCCCACCTACTAAAAAAGTAGGACCAAAAATGAATAAGAGTTAATGATGAAGGACCGTCACTACATTTCTTCAATTCCAATAACGTCCTTTATTACATTACCAAATAATTTTCAAAAGCTACTAAAGCAAAAGGGTAGCAATAGCGCCGGTCAAAGAATTGTATTTTTTCGGTTTAATTCTGACGACTTGACCCCACTTTTGGGACGTAATATTAGCCAAAAAAAATATTTTGTATAAAAATGTTTTTCTCTTAAATTTATTTAGCAATAATTATGAGTGAAATAATAAAACTACATATAAATTTTATTAAATACAAACTTATTACCAACAACAAGTTGGTATAGTGAGATGAGTTATTAGATCCCTTAAGCAATGTCAGAGGTTTGAATCATGACGTTTTTGAATGGAGCAAACTGGGTTGGGAGAGTCGTCATCGTCTCTGTAGTACTCGATCTGGATTAGTTAGTCAATAAATCGGATACCAGTAATTAATTCAAAAAAAATACAAACTTATTTCTTAGATTTATAATTGTATTTAAAACTTATATAAAAATAAAAAATAAATAAAAATATCACTATAATAAATATAATTTAAAAAACTTCAATTAAGTTGACACTCTAATTCGTATTACTAACTCAACCATGAATTTAATAATAAATAAAAATAAAAATAATTAAATTTCATCCAGGAGAAAAAATATATGGGAAATTACCCTTCAATAATTTGTTAAGAAAATGGAGTAAATAGAGAGAGAAAATACAGATTTATTCAGCTTATTATTAGAAACCAATTATCATTACTATTTGGATAAATGTGTGTAATTATCAATACAATTAATTAATTTCATGATTAAATTTTATATCACAAGTTAAACATTGAAGGATATTTAAGGCCAACAATTTTATTATTTAGGTGTATTATATAAAATGTATAAAAAAATAGTAAATTTTTAATACAAACGCAACATAACATTCTCAGTAATATATATATATATATATATATTTATTTATTTATTTATTTATTTATACAAAGAATGATCTTGTATATTGCATGAGTAAAAAACTAGTTAATAATAGAATTTTAATGTTGTTACCTAAAGACAAATTAGACCCATTTTTATAGGGCTTTACAAACCAATGTGCCATTAAAGAAGCTACATTTTGAATTTTGATGTGTACACATAGTAAATGCCTCAAAATCTTGAAAGAAAGAAAGAAAGAAATTGGGGGTGGGAGATCCTTTGGGAGGGGCAGCTTATGGTTTAGGAGTCCCAAAATAAATGAGGTGGTCCTAAATAATAGAAAAGCAGGGAGTAGCGTTGATTTTTGCTTCCATTTGAAGTATTGGCCCCTCCCTAAAACCGTCGCAACAAGTAAACCAAATTGTGGACTAAGCTGAACCACCTGCCAACTCATTTGCCGCTATAACTTGTTCAACTCTCTGCGGTCACTTTCTTCTTGAGTATGACATTTACTATCATTGTGGTTGTTCTTTCCTCTCTTACTATTGAATAATTAAGTCCAGATTTAGACATTATTCTTTCGATTTTGGTTGCTTTATAGCGTTTCATTCTTTTTTATATATATAAGAATACTAGTCATCATCGTTTATTCATAATTATAAGAGTTAATCATTTTCAAAATCAAAGGCTTAGCCACTGAACGGGCGCTTACCCTACTCACAATTTCCCTTTTAAAAATATTTAATTATTATTTCCGAATGGATAGATCAACAGATTAAATTTACTAAATCAGGTAATTTTAAACACATCATTAAAATCATGTAACTTAGCCACTGGACGCTACTCACAAATTTCCCTCAAGGGATAGGATTGCTTCGAAACATCTAAAGGTGGAACCGCCGCCGGTAACAGTGGCAATATAGAGGTAAAATTGAAACAAATGTTAGCAGTGCCAAAACAAAGGATCCTTTGCTCTGTGTTTACTTCACCCTTTTATCTCCTTTACAACCTATGAACTGTGAGCATGATGATGAGTGATTTTGAGATTAATTCAACCAAATGAGCTATGAGAGGAGAGTAGTGATTTTGACGGTGGAGATGTCATTGCTAGTGGTACATTTTTCATCGAAACATGATTGAGATTTGACAAAGACACGAGTGATGTGTGTGTTTTGCAACACCTATAATAGCAACGTTCATGGTTGTAATGTAATTGCTCCCCAGCTCAAAAGCACTTTACCTACCAAATAATTGATGAATGCAGAAACAATATCTTTTATATTTAAAACATCTTATTTTCATCTCGGATTATCCTCTTCCACAGAAACTGCTGCTCGAAGGTGGAATCGCGTTGGCTTAAATGCTTCTCAGGTTTTTTGTCTTTACGTTTTAAAAAATAGCTTAATTTCCATGTTCAATCTTTTTTAAAAATATTTTCGTAAATTTAAGTTGTGGAATTTTGGCAGGTCGGAAAAGGATTGTCCGTAGACGCCAAAGCACAAAAATTGGCTTTTCAATATTGGATTGAAGCTGTAATTTCTCTTCTTTGGTTAAATTATGATTTTATGTCCCTCTACGATCCTCAAATTTCTTCAAAGGGATATCAGTTCTTCACTTTTAACGAAATAATTAAATGTGCTACGGCTTTGCTTGATTGAATGGAAAGATGTAATGGAGGAGTGGGAAGGTGGAAATAAAATAAATTTTAAACGTGCTTGTTAGGAAAGAAAATATTTTGGATAATTTCATTGACGGCATCGTTATGGCCATAACCTACATATTTACTCCGATGATGAATGGTGTAAAGCTGATGCTGGTCAACCATTTTTCTACCGGTAAACCCCAAAGTTATTTAGTTTTTGTTGTTTGTTCATGGATTTTTGGGGGTAAATTTGTGACTTCATCTCTGTTCTATACTCAGCCTGAAATTTAGTTCCTGTACTTTAATTTGTAAATGTTATGCTTTAGTCCAAATCCATAACAATAATTGATTATGAAAACCATTATTGGACCATTTTTCTTTTTGTTTCTTGCAGGTTAGATATAGGGGATGGCAAAGAGGTCGATCTCAAAAAATGTCCAAGATCAAAGCTTCAACAACAATGCATCAAGTATCTCGGACCAGTACGTATGCCACTCATGTTTGATTCAATCTAGAATTTATGTTTTCCAGATGAGATGTATGAAACTGTCGATTCCTTTGCTACTGTTGTAAACAGCAAGAAAGGGAACATTATGAGTACATTGTTGTTGAAGGAAAGATTATCCATAAACAAACTAGAAATGTCCTTGATACATTCAAAGGATTAAAAGAGGCTAAATGGATATTCGTGATGAGCACCTTGAAGAAATTATATGCCGGCGAGGTAAATCGTCTGACTCAAATTGCAACTGTTTGATTGCTTACCTTCTAGATTTATAGAAAGCTGAAAATGTCTTTTTGGTACCTTGCAGAAGAAGAAGGGAATGTTTCATCATTCCAGCTTCTTAGCTGGGGGAGCGACACTGGTAGCCGGTTGATTGGTGGTGGAGCAGGGGATACTAAAGGTAAACTGACAGTAATGATGGTTGCGTTGCATTTTGAATGCTGGATGTCTGATTCTGATACATTGTATGAGACCTGATTTCATTCGTTTTTCAGTCCATCTCTGCATATAGTGGACATTACCTGCCAACGGACGATTGTCTCAACAGTTTTCTTTCATTTCTGAAGGAGAATGGAGTGAACCTCGGCGAAGTTGAGGTAGCCTTTCAATCTATCCATTTTCTCATCAGCATTTGTCGAATTGCAGGACTTGGATCATGCATTTTCCTTCTCCGACTTTTGTAATAAATACAATGACATACCCTTATCTCGTTTTCAGATTTTCCGGGCAACTGATGATTTCGATAGCTATGATGATGGCAAATCCAGCGGTAATGTTACTGCTTCCGATTTTTCTCTAAGCTCAGTGCTTACTGAACCCGAGATCGATAATAGAATCATCTGAAACCAACCAATCAGAGACCAAAATACTTACAAAAGGACTTTATCCGGTGGTCTTCATAGCCCAAGAACTGAGGTGCCTAAAAATGATATATTGCAAAAGGATCAACTCGAAGAAGGCAACGAAATCATATCAATTGGGACATCAACTGTCACTGAAATGGTCCACCGGTGCCGGGCCAAGGATCGGGTGTGTTGCCGATTACCCTGTGGAACTGAGACAACAAGCACTAGAGTTTGTCAACTTGTCCCCAAGAACGCCAAACACCCCTTTGCCATTCTTGACTCCAAGAACACCACGCACTCCTACAACACCATCGGGATACCGGCGCCCCGGTAACCTTGCACTGATTGCAGCTCGGTCAACACCGAACGAGTCAAACGGGGATGAGATTTCCAGCATTGGAGTTTAATACACCATAAACTTGTCTTTTAGTGAATCTAAATATTTGATCTGCTTTAATGTCACTTTAAGCTCTTTGAAATGGCGATTAGTATCAATGAAGAAATAATGTCGACCTATTCAAGATAAATGGTAAGTGTTCGACCTATTTGATCGGAGTTTAATACTCCGATTATTATTATTTTCATACACAACTTTTCAAGACAGAGTAACATCAAAAGAAAAGTAGACAAAATTACAAAGGAGTTGATGGGTACAAAGAACAAAAAATGTAGAGATCAGAAGCTAACAGAGGTAAGTTTTGGTGGTAAATTTTAGTTCTGGAAAAGTTGGTTGAAGCTGTTTTGAAAAGCTGGAGTTGAGAATGCAGCTCGCCAGCCTTCCTGCGTAGGGTGAAGTGTATCCCAAAAGAACTTGGATTTAGGGTTTGAGCAAAGCGTGTACTTCTTAACTCCATTTTCATCTACACTTCCACATGAAAATGCAGCACTCACTCCCATACAACATGCCTGCAACGGCTTCTCAAATTTCGGGCTTCCTGCAAAACCAAATAAATTACATCTTCAAAATTTTAGCAAGAACCAAAGTATACGTATGTACGAACGGATGGATGGATGTGAGTGTTATGACCTTGATGAGGCTGCGTTTGATTGAGAACTGTCGAAAAGGCACCGTGGAAGTCGAGAATAAAGAAAGAGGTGGAGTTGGTTTGGTTGTTGAGGTTGGTGACCGCTTGAAGGAGCAGTAGGTTGTGGAGATCAACAAGGGCGTTTTGAGTTGGGTCGCACCGTTGAAACGAGGTCTGAGCGGTGTTAGCAGGGAGACACCCCAACGGTGGCAGGGAACCCACCGCTATTTTTCCCACTCCCAACCCATGTATGCGTCTCAAACTCACAGTAAGTTGCCTCACGACGCTCGAAATAAAGGCCGGAAAACCCTGTCACCGATAATATATGTAAGATAAAAAAAAACATGAAAATTATTGGTAGTGCTAATGTAAAGTCGATTATTTTGTTCCAAAAAGCACGACAGCATCTGTTATAACTCTGTCCTTTTATGATCATCTGCCTAAAATGGAGCTTCAAAGAAACCTATTGATGAACAGTGAGACAATGGTTGCTATCTGAACACGGCAGCCAATTATTGGTCCTTTGTTGTTTTGGTAGATAAACTATCTTTCAATGAGTTTAAGCATATCACCACCGATACAGCGACATCCATATAACATATTGAACGTCTCTCCATCTATATCCTTATCTACCACTAACATGTTATATATAATTTAGAATTAATTATATCACACGTCCTCAAATTTTTTAATGTTCTGATTTAATCCCTAAACTTTGAATCATATTCAAAATTGGCCCTTAACTTCTAAATATTTCAATTTCATCCTTAAACTATGACCTTTATTCTAAATTGGTCTTTAAACGTCTAAACATTTCAATTTCATCCTAAACTATCGGTAGATGATAATCACATCCCCTGATGATATAACAGTTGTGCCAAACTCTATTATTATGTTTGAAAAAAATAAAATTTAGGTTAAATTGTTGTTGAAACTAATTTCATATTTGGATGGATCTTAGGATGAAATTAGAATGCTCAAAAGTTTGAAGATCAATTTACAATAAGTCATAATTTAGGGACATAAAATGTAGTTAACTCTATTTTTTATGTAAAGATATTAAGTGTATCTAAAGATAAACTGTATAATTATAATCTTAGTATTTCTATTATGTTAAAATTTGAGAATTGTTTTTAATTTTATAATATTATTAGTTCGTCCAAATTAATAACACCATTTGTTGTTGTGATTAAAGTGATGATATAGATTTTTACTTTTATATTATATGATAAAACCTAGACAACATGAAAATCCGGTTGCCAAGTGTGACTAAAATGCGGAAATGTTTTCATTACCGCCGTAGAGCCGTTCATGGCAATGTAATTGGCGTAGTCATTGCCTGAAGCACTGACAAATGCCAAAGAAGCTTTCAAGCCCCTCTTGTTGTAAACGGAATCGTTGATTAACTGTTGCAGAAAATGGATTTGGGTCGTCATGTTCGGATACGAAGCCGACGTGTCGAAAACCCCAGTCCCTCCGTAAGCAAAGTTCAACCCGTATTTCACCCGACCCGCCAGTTGTTTCCTCCATCTGTATGGAATTGGTGTCTTCATTCCCAAGTAACCCGCTGCTTGTAAAAAAATCGACATGACATTTATAAGTAAAAGATCTTACTAGAATGACATTTTGGCCTGATACTTCAATTAAAATGTTCCAAAGTTTAAAGGTCGGTTTAGAATTTAGTTCATAATCTGGGATGCCATATGTAATTAATCCTTTTTATATAATTAAATGATTGAGAATTGTTATTATTATTAAATTCCAAAGGTAGTAGGCAGAGTTGTTAAAGTCGGCCACGCTTAGTTGAATGTTGATAGAGATATTAAATAATAATAAGAATAAACTACACGTTTAGTATATCAATTACTACTGTTATTTCATTTCGGTCACCTAATTATCATTTTTTTCAAAAACATACCTAATTATGCGTTTTGATCTTATTTTGATCACCTGTTGTTGAAAAAGTAATAGAACGCTGACATTGTATTTTTTTTAAAACAAATAATGAAGATGTGACATTACCTTATACATCAACATCACTGTTAATTTTTTAACAATGTGTGACTAAAATTAAATCAAAATGTAACGTTAGGTATGATTTTGAAACAAAAAATAATTGGATGATCAAAACAGAACAAAAGTGATAGTCGGGATACTAAATGTGTAATTTACCGTAATAATTAAACGGATGTGAGTGGATTTGGAAAGGGAATGTGCTTAAGTTTATGGAATATAAACTAAAATAATATTACATAGAGAAAGATGAAGTTTCATTTGAAAAAGGTGACTAAAAAACAATTTTTTTTCAGGGAAATGTCACAAACTCATTTGGTAACATGAGTTTCAAACATGTAGGAATCATTACGCCTTATGCACTTCTTTTAAAAATCAAAGTGGAACGATAAAGCGAAAGAAAAAGAAGGAATTCAAACACATGGAATCACTGAAAAAGGAACGGCGAACACACAAAAGAGTTTACAAACACTGAAAATCATGTGTAGAAAGGAAGAAGATGACATTTTTTTAAATCTTGTTTAGGGTTTCAGAATCATATTACAGAGTGAAAGAGAGAGATTTACCGATGAAATCAGTAGAGACTCGGCCATCAGAGAAACGACCGGCGGGTTTTCCAGGGAACGTAATTCCATAAGGGAATTTCCATGAACTTGCCAATGCTATCCTGTTGTTCCCCGTGTCAGCATACGAATCCCCAAACACAAATAATCTCTTGTCTCCCCTTCCCAAACCTTCAACACCATGTTCTTCTGCTTCATGCATTTTAAAAAGAAATAATAAGATTAAAAACAACCCCTTGCAGTGGAAAATGATAGCAGAAAGAAATATAACGATGGGTTTCTTTTATGTTTCTGTTTGTTACCTGAGAAAACAGAAATGAAGAAGAAGCAGCAGAAGAAAAAAACCAAGTTTTGGGCGACCATTTTGGACTGGTTTAAGGCTTCCAATTGCTTCAACGTTATTTTGAAGCCTATAAGTTCCGTTTTGGAGGAAGCATACGCATTATATAGACAGAGATTGAGTGGGACGTAAAAGCTCTTTTATTGCATGTTTGGCCGTCAATTTTTACCTAATTATCTATCCAGTTCCATTTATTTATAAAAAATTATTAATTGAACCTCTTCTAAATTTGAATTTGCAGAGTGGTCATCATGATTAAAAAATTGTTTTATCTAAATAACCTAAATTCAAATAATATAATATACATGTGTGCATGAATTTAGATCTTTTAAATAAAATAAACGTTTTAAAACCAAAGTGAATTCTTCCAAAATTAGCCTAATCTAAATCCAAGCTTATCTATCCAATTAAAAAGTTTACTTGCAAATTTGTTCAGACAATTACAATTTGATATTTAAAATATTTTATGGAATTTAAGCAGACACGAAAAGAAAATTTTATATTTTCAAGCATGACAGACTGGAATTCTTTAGAAACCAAATCAACAAGAAGACAGCCATTAAGAGTTAAAAAAATACTAAAATAATTACGAGTTTTGGCATTGACTTTATAATAAATAATAATAATATATTAAACATCAAATTTTATCCGAAACATAATAATTCATTTAAAGATTAATTTGATTATATAAGAATTATTGTTGGACAATCCGTTTCGTTTCGTTCCGTTTCTTTCTTTTTTTTTGAAAGAATGTAATTTGTATTATAATCAATAACAAAGTGTACCACCTCAATGACCTTATTAAAAAACTTCTATAACCCTAAATGGAAGAAAAATAGTGTATCTTGAGGTGGGAAAGATCTTATACAAGTAATGCTATTACATCATACAAAACATACCGGAATCCACAACCCAACTCTTACTAAAACCAATACAGACCAAGCATCTGATATCTACTAATCTAACATAGACACAACACCCATGGGGGTGCATTAGAACAACAGCAGAAACCAGATTCGCCAAACCTGCTATAACACAGCAGCTTAACACCATAAAATCACCAATCTAAAACCTAGCCCTACACCAATCCACAAGTCCAACATAGTAGCAATGGCACGCATCAGAACAGAAGAAACCAATACAAACCAAGAAGCTATGAGAAATTAAGCAAAATGAACAATAAACAATGAACTAACGCAAGCGCAGTAGCAATGGAATGCATCAGAACAGCAGCGGTATCCGGATTGACTAAACCTACTATAATATAGCAGTGAAACATTACTTAACACTAAAAATGCACTGCCAACACACTCCAAGAATGATGAACTGAGGACATCGCACAAATTCTTGAATAACCATAATCAACGTCGACCATAAATCGTTCGCCCAAACCCCTATCTGGATCATGACTATATTAAAAATATGTTAAGATAACGTGTGATTTATTTTTATTAACGGATATAGCGAGGATATTAATTCTTTCTCGTGTAAGTATTCTCAAATTCGATTTTTAATTTTGTAGCATAAAATTATCATTTTAGTAAAATTTTAATTTTTTTTATTAAAGCAACATATTTTATGATTCAGTCGTACTTAAATAAAATAATTAGTGACATCTCTACTATTTTTTAAATGTAATTTTAAATTTTTACCAATAAATCTAACCATCTCTATAAAGCAATAATCTTGATTTATTCCGGATTTATATTAGAGTTTAGAATTCAATTACTCACGATATGATCTATTGATCTATTGGAGAGAGAGAGAAAGTATTCGGCACACGCTTTCTTTCCCTACCTAAAACAAATAAATTATATATTTATTTTGGATTTGTATGATTTCATTTTACACGAATATCACAATAAAAAAATGTTCTATATTTTTATAAATATGGCAAGGTACACACGTTTACTTTATATGTGTACTCATTTTTTCTCTCTTAATTTTTAAGATTTTTTTCTAATTAATATGAACCGATTAGAATTATATATATGATTTAGTGTATGAGTCTCACAACGAAAATTTTATACCTACACGATATGTTAACTTTTACCCATTCAACCGGTTGCGCCTCCCAACACAGCGACGGTTGTTGGGCGCCTATATACTTGATATATTGAATACTAATGAGTTAGTTATGATCCGATTCCTTATATAAGAAAGTCAATGATTCAGCCTACTTAATGTAATTTCCATTACCATTTTGGACTTCTTTTATTTCAAGGAATTATTCATTCAATGAAAGTTTCAATCAGTCAAACAATGGGTGCCGTGTAAAATTCTAGTATAAAATTTTGTAAATTCAACTAAATCTATTTAAACGAAATTTATTTAATTAGTTTTTATTATTCGATTAATAAATTTAATTTAATGATTCGTTTTAATTGAACTTAATCACTTTTTTTAATTTAATTTTTTAAAACTAAATAAAATATATATTTTTATTAATGATTACTAAACCCAATATCTACACCTTTTATTAATAAATAGTAGTAAATCATGCCTACAACTTTTATTAGTAAAGACTATACCTAATATCTACACCTTTTATTAATAAATACTAAACCTAATATCTACAAAAAAAGTTAAAATTAAATTAAATCATTATAAAATTGAAATAAATAAAAGTAGGTTTGAAATTATTATATGTATACCTGTACAAGCACATACGCAGACATATATATTTCTCCACCTCCCGTGAATAAATTTAACTTTCATATTAACTTCCATATTAGAGATTTTTTCAATTTTACCCCTACTTCAATCTTCATGTCAACTGATCAAATCTAAAATCACGGCAATTAATGAATTACTTCAAACTTTAAAAAAAATGTGGAACTATTTTATAAAAAATAGAATAAACTACCATCCGCCCATAGCCTCACTTTTCTCCTACGCTCACCGTCCGCCCATCGCCTGGCTTTTAAACTATCATTTTCATATAGTATTATAGTCAATCTAGCTTGCTTCGGATGCCCATTAAGTCATTTCTATGGTCCATGATTGGGCAAAATTAGCCCGGTGAGGGTTTAGGGTTTTTTATTTAACACAGGGCAAGTCAATATTTATTTTGAGATATATGATCTTTTCTACATTAATATTAAACTCATCACGTCAAGGTGATGAATTCTAATAAAAAATATTTATTTATTCTAATTTTTTACCTTGATAAGATAAATTTTCAAAAAAAAAATTGGAACTCGCCAACTCGACGTGACGAGTTCCAATAACTCTATAGAAAATGTCGTAGATCTCAAAATAATTTTTGACTTACCCTAATGAGCTAAATAAAATACCCATTATCTTTACTTGACTAAATCAACCCCATGATGGGCAAGGCCAATCATGGGTTTTGAGTTAAATTATTAAACCAATATCTTTTTAATATTTAATTATTAAAATAACACTAAAGGAATTTAATTTATGAAATGACATTCATTTCTATCACATAGGACGAAAGAGCGTCGCGCGAAAATATTTTTTAAAAGACTCTTTTTCAGAAGAACGTCTTTGTTTACGTGACAAGTTTTGAACTAATATTGATTTAATTCAATACCTGCCACATAAGTACATCTTTATTTTATATTTTTATGTGATAAAAATATATATTATTTTAAAAAATAAATGTTTTAAATGTTATTTTCTTAAGTAAATATTAAAAATATATTATTTTAATAATTTAGTTTGGGTTCTGTATGTGATAAAATTTTATTCGCCATCGTTAACATTTAATATTTTTCATAATCATATCACATATATTAGACTAATAAATCAAAAGAACAATAAAAAAGTATACAAAATTTAGAAACGAGATGCTTATAGAAAAAACGTAATGTTGTGTATATTAAAGCTATTGTTTTACTTTCACTAATCAACAGATCAATCACATGCTAACATTTGTTAGCACAATAAGATAAAACGAGTTACCAATTACGTTCTTGATCAAAATGAATATAAAATAGAACTTTAATAATTATTTTATAATATTTTGATTAAAACATACTAGTTATTATAGAATATTTTTTAAAAACAACAACACATCATTAATAGAATAATTATTGTACTAGTTATTATTATGCGAAAATTAAGATTCTATCCACCTTTTAAACTCGTAAGGTATAATAAGATTTTTCAATTTTTTTATGGACGGAAGAAATCAACTGTCTGGAGTAAAAGTGTAATTATAAGTAACAAAATTTGAAATACAATTTCCTTTATGAATTATGGATATGATTATAAGATAATAACTTTTGTTTATTTTTCTATCTATTAATAATATATATATATATAATTATTTAAACATAATTTAAAAAATAATAATATAGAAATATAAAAACTATTAAAAAAATATAAAAACTATAAAAAAATATAAAATGATATTTTGATGAAGAAGATGGATTAGTAATTATTTTTATATGATATCTAAATTAGGATAATGTTTTAAATCTTAAATTAAAAAGAAAATTGTGTTATTAATTTTTTTTTTATAAAAACAATTAGTTTTATTAAAAAGATAAAATATTCAGAATTAGAATGAAGGTTTATAATTATAAATATAAACTAAATACATAAGGATGTTTTTCTATAATTATTAACACAATAAACTAGTTAATCAATATCATAATGATCATACAAGGGATATGTTAAAAGACTTGAACAAAAAAATCGAACAAAAGATAGATGTGAATATATCTTATCGCATCGGCAAACGAACCATAAAAAGGAGATCAAGCTACGGAAAGATCACTAATAAACCGTAAATTAGAGTCAAGTAACGTGAGTAAACTATCAACGAATGTAAAATCGTATATTCAAATCTAAGTTGAGGGTCCAAAGCAAGGAAGATCAATATAATAATAAATAATCGTCATCTTGATTAATCGTAACGATATCAAATCCTACTCTAAAAAAGATAAACAAAAATAATAGTCAAACAATTGAAAATGTATCAAAAGACATAAAAACATAATTATTAGAAAAGACAGAGTAAAATGTGTCATAATTTTTTTAAGTTATTATTCATAATAATATAATTAAACTAAAAAAGTCTAAATAAATATTAATTTA